TCATTGTATTGAAATGGAAGAGGCATCCGCCAATGAAAGCTAAGAGACTTTTCTACTTTTAACCAATCAGGTAGTTGTCGGATATATTTGTCGCGCGGCATCTCTACATACTATTAATAGCAAGTTAACATCAATGTTTGTAGTAATTTATGATAATCTTTACTATCCAGAAAGTGCATGACTTTGTACAGTAGTTGAATTACTCAGCAACAGAACGTCTGGGCGTGATACGTTTAATATGAAAACTGAAGACATGGTTGCGGGCTACAAAACAAGATGTGATGTGCGGCGATTGCACGTATTTAGCATGCGTGAAGTGACCTCAAACATGCCCAATCACTGGAAAATAGGTATCTTTGGGTGTGATTGTATCCTGCAATAAGCATCGTAACACAGTCCATGATACTTCATTACGTAGTATCGATGCTGCTGTACATTTCTACCATGTTCTTGTGTTGATCGGTGATCTCTGAGCCACGAAGCAGCACATAAAAGACAGCATTTGGCGTAAACTTCAAATATAACGTAAATATGATAAATAATTTTAAAATGTATACTTTTTGTTGAATATAATTTATACTTAATATAGATTCAGATTCAAAGGTTCTACCATACTTTGATTGACCATGGCATCAATTTCGAATATCATTCATAATCAGAATAGGCATTACTTCACTCACCAATGTATTGAATACTACACTCAGTTAGCTCCATAATATAAAGTACAGTTAAATTAAGGATCTGCTAATTTACAAGGCAAAAAAATAGCTCTAAACAAGATATCAATGTATTTTAGTTGGCCTATATTACTAATTCTAACAGTTCATTCCAAATCTATTGCCTGTGGTACCTACCTATTTTTTAATATAGTTATTCCAGCATTTATGAATTATGCAACTGTTGCTGATTTAACTATAAGTACAGTACATACCTGCAAATGGTTTTAATAGCAAATGAACTATATTTGATTAATAGTACTACGTCTAATAATTTATACAACATGCAGTTTCTCGCTAATCCAAGTCTATATGGAGTGAGCTTTGTTCTAAACGTAGTACCTACATCCCTAAATGTAAGATATACACAACCAGCTAATTTTGCAGGATTCCCAGTAGTAGCTAGTACTATGAAACTTACTACTGATTAGAGCGATTTCAATTTGATTAACTTATTGGTTATGCTAAACCAACTGTTTATGATGGAAATACTTCTACTACTACTTACAACTTGTTCTATGTACCACAATCAGTCTGGTATCAAGCATTAATTTAGCTTATAATCTACCTAATTATGCAAAGACATTGAATAATGCTTTTAACTTTTATTTACATATCCAACTAATATAGTTTATTATGCTATAGCAACTGTGGCTAATGTGCTTGAAATAGCATCTACGGATCAAAATGGTGCTCCATTATATATAAAAGGTCTAGCAATTATATGTTTCTATTAATATTTAATTAGTTCTTTGAAACAGTATACGATTACAGAATGAGAATTCCAAAGCAAAAAGAAAAGAATTCGTGCTCAATTAATACCAAACGCTTGAACGTTGAACAAAGTTCTAATATTCCTAAATTTATTAATGGATTAAAAACACTTGCTCTCAATCCAGATACTCCTTTACTTCGAAGTATTAAATTACGAAACTATATTTCAAGTTAAAAGAGCTCGTATTAACCCATTTAGAAGCTGGTGCATTAACACACTTATATATATATTAAATGCTGTCGATGACTTGGTCCATGACGGTGCGCAGGTTGACGACAGCGACGGGGTTCACTCCGTCCGGGAGAGGTTGGTGCGCAGGGATAGACAAGATTCGGTGCATGTTGAAGGAGTCAGTGATAGCAGGTGCATTTGGTGTGGTGCGTCGTCGAACGATATCACTATATGTTGGGTGGTCTGGGAGGACCCCAGGTGTTACGATGTCGTACAGTCGGTATGCAATCTGCGTCCCACGGGCACTCACTTTCAACAGCAACACATACTGAATCCCCGCATAGCCGGCCCACCAACTCGCAGCTGCGGTCAGACTCGCCCAAGATTGACTTCGCCCAACTTCCACTGCCAGAGTGACCCAGTCAGAAATAGTTCGAGGTACCGGTGGCGCCGTGCGGTTGGGCGTAGATCGCATCGGTCCAAAAGTGGCGTCGGCCTCCTTCTTTCGGAGCCCAGCTCTTCTCGCTCTCATGGAGCCACCTGTTGCAACCTCAAGTCCATTTCCAGTGGCAGCCAGGAACATGTACTCGAATGTTCTGGCTGTGCTTTCATGCACCTTTGTAGGGAGCTCGACAATCAAAATGCGCCCATCAGCAGTGAGATCCAGAAATCGAAGTGCGACGGGCAGTCCTTCGCCGTCTCCAACGTACGCGTTGAATGCTTCAACTGACACTCCGTCACAGACGACGTATGGGTCGATGTCGTCGCCGTCTTTGTCGAAGTAGCTGGCCACGTCATCCAGCTCCAGCCCATTCATGATGCCGAGGATTTGTCGGGCAGTTCTTGTCAGAGTCGTAGCAGTCGGAGCCATGGCTGCCGCAACCACAGACGTCACTTCAGTTGGGTGAGCGACTTTCGCTTTCTTGGGCTTGGGTGCATATGTATCAAACGAATCCCCGTCGCTCAAACCTGCGACACTCATCTGTTCTCGCTCGAGATGGGAATGGACTCAGTGATTTATATCCGGATAGATACTCTTCCTACATACAAAGAGCAAGGTTATTGCAGTGACACTGTCTACTTAGCTCTTGATTTTCCTATTTATATCCGGACAAAAGAGTTCGTACGTTGAAGTAAATCAACTGGTATATGAGACACGACACAAAGCCGACATAATTCGGCCCCGTGATTGGATGACCGACAAATGATCGAATCCGATTGGTCAGTACACTTTCCGACAATCGACGAGGCGCTTGTCGTAGCAGCAACATACTACCTCGAAGCATTATATCACTAACACTTCACTGAAATACTGCCGACCCGACAACGGTCGAACAAGTGTAGGGGTACTGCTGTGGTCTCTCGTCCATGACGCATGGGAACCATTGGTAGGGTCCCTTGAGTAGTCCATCCCACGTAGCGACTTTTAAAATGTACTGCCGTACGAGAGTACTGTAATGGTTGCGCATCGGGTATCGGGTAGGTCCTCGACTGAATATTGCCTACGCCAACACCACCTTACCTCCAGGAGTGATTCCAACTGCCCATCCATTCAACAAATGATACTAACCAAGTTCTCCACCTCTGCATGTCCATTTACTTTCTCGTGTGAACCACCGTACGTGTTAGCATCTGCACAGTGGATATAATGCTTGTAAACACTGTGTGACCTCCCTTTATTGTATGCCCCCCCTTCCAGCACAACACATAATCATATGCTCAATACTACAACCTCTAGAACTACTAAGATCACTTAAAATGTTGCGCGCGACCTCTGGGGTATATGCTCATGACAGAGCTGATTGAGACGATGGGAATTCGTTGCCAGCTCGCAAACCTATTCTATGGACGCAAGCTCGTGCACCAGTCGGCTATCAATGTAAAATCTAGCACTACACAAATACTCCAGCGATAGGGTTCCTTTTAGTGAGTGGTCACGCTGCGATATCCACAAGAGTATATTACTGTATTTTGGTGTCGTTGGCAAGGACCGAGGTAAGTATATACCTGATGCATGGCTTATGTCGCAAAGTAAGCAAGGTAATTCATCCATGTAATACAGTCTACGTGTAGTCCCACCGCCAGCGACAGCAATCTGAATGTCGACGCATTATTGGTATCACACTAATTGAAGCCACACACTAATTCGAAAGTTGATCATGGTTTCCGGCAATCTGATTGGTTATTAATAGTTGGTTATTAATAGTTGTGTCGATTCATTACAGTAGTTATTCTCCATGTCGTCGCTCCAGCTTAGACTAAACACAACAATACTATTAAGATAGTATCAAACCTCTACTACGGTAGTCGTCGCCCCTACTTACTATACACTACTACTACTACTAATCGTTGTTGGCTACAGCAACAGCAAAACACCATTACTAGTTAGTTAAATCTGGCATCTTCCCAATCTTACGCAGCCTTGGTCTCTAGCTTGAGGATCTTTCCCACGGCGATGGTCTTGCCTTCATCTCGCAGAGTCAGACGGCCCATCTGCGGCAGATTTTCGAAGGTTTCCACACAAATCGACTGGTCCACTTCGAGGCGCACCACTACACTCTGGCCCGCCTTGGCGAACATGACCTTCTTCTTGAGTGCTTCGCCAGTCTTGGGGTCGATAGGACGCAGCAGTTTCGTGATCGTGCACTCCTGCGCAATCGTATGGCAGTGGAGGATGGCCTTGTACCCCGCCGTGAGCAGTGGACGGTGCTCCAAAGCCTCGACGAACGCAATCTGAGCCACCAATTTAGTCACGCTTTTGGCTTCGTCGGCTTCGGCGGCCCCGACCAACACAAAGCCCTTGGTGATCTCTTCGAGGCCACAAGTGAGCCGCATGGTCACGTTTTCGCCAGGTTTGGCTGTGCGCACCGGCTTGTCGTTGATGTAAACCTGCGCTACAGTTGTACGCAGACTTGTGGGCTTCAGCACGATCTTGGCGCCCGTAGTGAGCACCCCCGACTCGACCTACATACCCGATGAAATATATATTTATATACATTGAATTTGAAGATAATCGGTGGAGTTGTTCTAGTGACATCACTACACGAGATATACATACTAAACCAGGTGGTATTATTCACTACATCGACTATATGGAAAAATATTCACTATACACGGCCAACCAACATATCAATGTTTGATATACCACGCACTCTAGGAATGTATAAGCCTTTGAAACGTAATAGGGTGCGTACCCTCCATGTTTTGATATCCTTCAACCATGCATACATGTCGAGCACTGACACATCAACTTCTACAGTTTCGCATCGTGCATATAAACCTTTGATTCTACAAGTTAAATATATATATATATATATATCCAAGCGATCCAAACCCACAAACATGATAATATATCGAGTTGGAACCTGATATTTACATATATATATATATATATTACCTTGCCGAGCACAATCGTACCGCGCTCTTGATATCGATCGAGCACGGGCACCCGCAGCGGCCCCGCGGGGTTGCGCCCAGGAATGGTCATGGTGTCGAGAAAGTCAATCAAACTCTCGCCTTCATACCATGGAGCTTTCGATGGGTCCACTTTAACCTTGATATTATCACCCGCGAGGCCCGAGATCGGAATGAACACCACGTCACGTTTAACAGCATACCCACAGCCCTATATATATATTTTTTTAATAAATACGAGCAAGTTGCGATAATATAAATATAAACATACGCGAAGAAACGGGCGGAGTTTATCGGCACACTCGTCGAATCTTTCTTTGGCCCATTTGGCTTCGTCCATCTTGTTGATTACAACAATAAGCTTGTTAATGCCGAGGGTCTTGGCCAGCATCGCATGTTCGCGGGTTTGTCCTGATGACGTCATCATATATAAAGTCGATATATTTGAATATGAATAGAGGGTTTACATTGCATAGGACCAAAAATATAGACACTATTCGCTTCTTTATCGACCAATCAAAACTGAGATCAAGAATCAAGTAGTAGCCAATCAAATTATTCAACACCAATTGCAACATTCAAGTAAGATGTGACTGAAATTAGTGTGACACTGCACGATCATTCCATACAAAAGTCAGTATTGTCAAGTCGATTTGAAATTGGAATGAACACCCAATCAGCAGAGAATAATCGAAAATCGACCAATCAAAACCCAGATCACTAATCCAGTTAGCCAATCAAATTATCCACTCTTCAAGTTGGAATTAGTGTATGTGACTGAAATTAGTGTGACACTGGACCATTTTGACATAGAAAAGCCAGGATCGATAGATTTGGCAAAGAATCCGCACAAAAATCAGATAAATATTGGGGAAAAGGACAATTGAACCACGTCTCAGCATGCGACAACGTCACAGTCACTCCAAGAAACGTTCATGCAAGATGGAAGACTTGAACGAGACGTCTGCTACGAGTTCAAGACGTGAGACGAGGGGACATACCACCGCGTTCGAAACCCGTTTCGAACTCGCCCTTGCGCGCGGAAATCACGAGGATGCCGACGTCGGCCTGCGCCGCGCCTTGGATCATGTTGGGGACGTAGTTCTTGTGCCCAGGCGCGTCCAAGATGGTGAAGCGCTTGTTCGGGGTGTCAAACTGCGCGCGGCCGACTTCGACGGTCTTGCCCTTTGCGCGCTCCTCTTCCCCAGTGTCCATGATGAACGCGAGGAACCTATATGAGAGCGATATGAGTTTGTGTTGAAGGCGGCAGGAGGTACCAAGAGTCGCGGTTGCGGGCCTTGGCTTCCTTCTCGAAGCGTTCGATGGTTCGCTTGTCCACTTGATCCATCAAGTACAGGATGTTGCCGGACAAGGTCGACTTGCCGGCGTCGACGTGGCCGATCAACACGACGTTGATGTGTTCGCGAGGATCTTCTTCGCCGATTTCTTCGTCCGTCAGCGGTTCAAAGTCCTCGTCCGCGACGACAGCGTCCTCGACAACCGCGGCAGCCTTCTTTTCCTCGACGGGTTTGGGGGCCGGTGCAGCAGCGGCTTTCTTGGGAGACGCCACAACCTCAGCTGGTGGGGCAGGCGGCGCCGCCACCGGAGCAGCAGGGGGAGCAGGTGCCGCGGCAGCAGGTTTAGGCTTGGGAAGGATCTGTGACGGCACTGGCGGCGTCCACGACGAGGCGGCCGGGTTGAAGGAGAACGTCTTGGCGTTCGGGTTGAGGCTCATCTTGCTCAGTCGACTTTTCCGAGATGGTTGGAGGACGAAAAGGAAAAGGAGGTGTGATTTTAATTCGACCACTGGAATAAAGTATGCATTATTTAATTCGTTAATACATTGTTAGACCAATCAAATCACAGAATAGACGGTATTTTAACCAATGAAACAAGGGTATTGGAAAATGATGGTCCTGTGAATTTTGACATCGCAACCGGCGGAATGTTCAACGAGGATGGGGTCCGTGAGAAGGTCTCCATGTCGAGGGAAGATGCGGTAGTGCAATGAGAGTGTAGGAGTTCATACACATACACGACATGTGGCTTATGCTAGTGCATGAGTGTGGCTCCTTCTTGGGAATGGACACTCCCGCAGAACGTCGAATGACGTGCTCAGTCGCGTTGTCGACTTGCAGAGACAGGCGTGCCAGCCATGCAAGGGCGCATGCCTATCGAGATGCTTTACATACCGGCCGGTATGGGTTTACATAAGCCCTATGCAGCTAGCTAGCTCCACATGTACTAGTAGATACGGCGAATGCATGGTTAGACGTCATCACTGTCAACTTCATCAGCGCTTAACGTTACTACGTGTGAAACTATTTCATCCAATGAAATCACGAGAAGCAGAATAGAACCATTTGATTGGTTGTAATACAGACAGTTTTGCTGATATGCCAACAGACCGCGGCGCTAGCTCGGTGGGCCGTCCAAGTGACCCCGTGTGGCAGTACTTCAAGAAGCTAGCCACGCCCCTGCCTCCATCGCATGTGGAGGAGGATGGTACAACTGCTACGTTCGCGCGTCCTCGCGCTCGATGCATTGCCTGTGGATGCATCATGATCGGCCAAGTGCGGCAGCTCAAGGCACACCATGCGCGGTGCGGCAGTCGACGTCACAGCCCTTCTTCACCCAGCGCACCTGCTCAAGACGACGTTAATGAAGGGAACGACAGCGTTGATGCGGCGGAGAATGAACTTTCTCGAATCCCATCGATCAAGCACCAGTTGAGCGCCGCGGAGAAGCTGCTTGTGGTGAAATGTCATGCGTACTTCAAGGTGAGCTCCCCCCAACCAGCATCCCCATCTTCCCATCTTCCCATCCTCCCATCATCATCATCACGTTCCCCTCTCCTCCAGGCCGAGAAGCAGAAGGAGAAGTTCCTCGTACATCGCAACCCGCCGTGGCAGACCCGCGATCGCGTGAGCAAGTGCCTCGGCATGTCCCAGAAAACAGTGTCCCAGGTCATCGCCGAGTGGAATCGACACCAAGACCCGACTTTTCAAGTGCGTGATCGACTGTCAACTACTACATAGTAGTACTCGTTGAACCAACTAACCGCTTGAGTCGTCCTGCAACTACTAGGTCCCATTATTACTCGCTCCATGTCCACCCTCGACTGCTTCGCAACCAGCGGCGACGACGGCAGCTACATCATGCAGCATGCAGCAGCTAGGCGAATACGCCCATGACGTGGATGCATATATCCAACATCGCCATGCCGCCGAACTGCCCGTGACGGCGGCGGTGCTGTGCGCGCACCTGATGGACTTGCATTGCCAGCATGTGGACGTGGCCAAGATGCGGCTCTTCCTGCGGAGACGCGGGTATGTGTCTGGTCCTCGCATAAACGGCCGCCGATGTCTTATTCGACCAACTAGTCCACGTCCTCTCTAACTATTAATAGGATGTGTATTTAACAACTAACTGGCGATTTGCTAACGTTATACGACAGAACACTCGCATCATTCCATGACATGATGATATATATCATCATTATATATATATATTATATACATATATATATATATGTATATATCATCATTATATATATAATATATATTTTGGCCTTTTACCCAAAAAGTTGAACTTTTTTATGCGGAAATGCCAAATATCGATCGATCAATCGTTTCATCCTTTGTACTGACATTTTGTATGTAAAAAGGTGTGTCCTGTGGTGATTCGTATCACACTAATTGAAGTCACACACTAATTTGACGTTGATACTGGTTTCCTGCTATCTGATTGGCTAAATACTATTTCTGATTCTTGTGTACATTTATTTGGTTGTGTCGATTCATTATGTCGTCGCTCCAGTTTAGAATTTTAACAATATCTATCTATCTACTGTATACACGGATGTATTTTTATGTCGTATATTTTATTCAAAGCTGAAAAATCAGCTTTTTTTTATTCAATGCATAAGGCGCTCCATGGTTTCTTGGAGGTACCCAAACCGCTGGTGTTTGGCCAAATGGAGCAAAATGCGGAAAATTTCGTCAATTTCCACGACATTGGATGCATTTTCGTCCAAACTGAGCGTTCCTACGACCAATCATAAAACACCATTAAAAAAATATCATTCATATTGTCGATTTGATAGTACAAATTTGAGGAGGGGGTGCAATCGAATCGACCAAACCGATCCACAATCGATCTGATTGGTTGTTGAATTTCATGGAGAAGGTTTTGATTGGCTAATAATGTTTTGAAGTAGCCAATCAAATCGATTTAAATACCAACGAGAAACCGCGCCACAACACAATGAAATTTCATTCGAAAGCACAATAACACACAAATCACATTCGAGTATTCCACTGATATATATATATATATATTCCAAATGGTCTTAGTAGATATATAATGCATACCTGTGCACCCACACAATGTGTTGAGCTGGGATTCATTGGGGAGGTTGCATCGTTTGCACACGAGTTCTCGCAGTTGGTAAGGAAGGGAGTGCTGGGTATGGACGACGTGCACCAAGCGATGCTCCAACATGTCGAGGTCGTACAAGTGGGTGCAGCGAGGACACTGCCATGATTGGACGACCTCGTCTCGGTCGTCCAATGCCGATAGGTCGTCCATAAGACCCGGTTCCCGGCATAAATCCACATGGCGACAGAGGTTGCACTGGGTGCAGATGATGTCTGGCAGCACAAACGACTTGGACGGATTTACAAACTCGGCTTCGGTCGAGAATTCACTACCATACCACCCAAAATGAGATATATTTGGGGTTTCAATACTATCAGGATATATATATATATACAAATATTGATCATGCGTGCATACAAATCGAACGACCTTCATTCGCACACATACACCACCACAACGTTCAATGCTCTTGTCAAAACAGACGACGTGAAATTTAAAAAATCAAGCATGATATCACTCCATGTCGAATGTATATATATATATATATATATATATTAAAAATGCAATTTATATATAACTCAAGCTATATATATGTATATATTTTATATATACAATTTATATATATAATTGTATTTTTTAAAATCATAATTTATTCGTCGTTTCGAGTGTATATTTTTTGAAGATACAATGTATACATACATTCGCTATATATATATATATATATATATATATATTGATAATATACCTGATGCTCATGGTTTTAAGCAGAGTACGTTTGAGCTGCATGACATGTGTCGAGAGGGTCGTGTCGAGGTGCCAGACGTGGCAGACGCACTTGACCAGTTCGAGCGCCGCGTGCGTCCACGGGAGATGCGACCCCGCGAGCGTCGGAAATGTATGCGCGTGCGAGAGGATGTCGGGTACGAGGCGCAGAAACTTGTCTGTGAACTGCGTCGAGATGAGCTTTTGGCAGTACTCGGTCAGCGCCATCTCGACATTATTGAGTCTATATCTATGTATTAGAAAATATACACATAGGAATAATATTACTAAGAGAGAGAGGAAAAAACGATTGGTTTAAAATCATGATTGATATATCATGCAACAGAATCCAACACAGCTATCGGTGAATATTATTATAGATATGGGGTGTACTCATACATATATATATAGATATGGGGTGTACTCATATATATATATATAGATATGGGGTGTACTCATATATATATATATATAGGGCGTACCCAAGTGGGGTGGTGGACGCAGGGTCTTGACTGTAACGGAGGGTAAACTACAACAAACACGACACGATGATAGATTAATATTTAAAATTTCACAGATATGGAATATATATATATATATAGTTTGTGTACTTACGTCGTAACGACGTTTGATGAACTGCGCCAATAGAAGACGGCAGTATTCGTCCACGCCACGCGGTAAATAGCGCGCCAAGTTCCACGCGCCCACCACTTGAGGCCTGCAAAAGATGAAATGTATAGTCTTCCAGAAATATATATATATTAATATATATATTTGATAAAACATAGACGTACTCGGCAGTATCGGCCACCCATTCCATCCCGCCAAAGTTCTCCATGTCCAAAAACAGAACGTGCGAGTAGAACTACAGCACCAGGACGACGACGATTAATATATATATATATGTCGAAATATAACAAATAAATATATATAAATATATATACATACATGCACGGGCGTCCACTGCAGCACGGGAAACGTTTCTTGGAGGGTTCGCGTGATAAACCCCATATACGCCTTGGCTTGATCCACCGAATGCTTTTGCGTCTCGAGCACAATCTAACACGAAACCCTCGATATAAGGACACCACACCACCACCAACCCTCCCCCTTGATACAAGAACAACCGAGGCATGTACACCAAACCCTCGAAATAAGGACATCGCGCCACACCACGTTCGATACAAGGCCCCAATACTCTTGATACAAGAACAACCAAGACACTGTCACGTTCGATACATGGACACAACCGAGACACGAACCCCATCGATATAAGGACACAACACCACCACGTCACTCGATACAAGAACCACCGAGACCCCAACCCCTCGATATAAGAACACCACCCTCTCCCATGATCCTCTTGATACAAGGACATACACACACAATCCTCTAAGAACCCCCGACGTACGCGGGACACGTCAGCGTAGACGATGGTGGCGCCGAGTCGTTTCATTTGTGCCAAGAGTTGCTTGAGAAGTTGGTGCATGCAGTTTTGCATAAGATTATGGAGGTTTGGGTCGTAAAAGTGAGCTCCAGGGGACGCCATCCACCGGTAAAAGTGCTGCAGCAACGCATCAGCCACGGGGCTCTTCGTCGACACGACGTCGTTGAACAACTGCGTGGCCAGTTGGCGGACCAATCGAAACGCCACGTTCTCCTCTACAATATTATATATATATATATATTGGTTGGTCTATCATAATATAGATAGATAGATGTCCCCAACGACACTCGTACACATACTGTATATATATAAGCAAGAATGTATTTGGGAAACACACATTTTACACCCTTATTTAAACGTATGATCCATCTCTAGTGCGTTTTGACCAAGGGGTTGTTGACGACATCGCTGCGAAATTGAACAAAGTAGTGTGATTGGATAAAAAGAATGAAAGCTGTCATACGATTGGCTGAAATGAATAAATGTTCATGTCACATACCTCTGAAACTTGGATAGAGGATCACCATATCACCACACAAAAACACACAAAACGACACGAGTGTATAAAACCAGGTTTCAATATAATCAAATATGGGTCGAAAGGTTTTATATCCGATACTCTCCTACATAGGAATCCACACCCATCCATATATCCATACACTTATTTCTCCATGATAAAACATATAAGTCCTTGTATAGAACCCATATATATATATATATATACTCATGTTTCATTACTGGAAGATATAATAAAGTCCTTGTATAGAGAACCCCCATATATATATATATATACTCATGTTTGATAAGACATATAAGTCCTTGTATAGAACCCATTTATATATATAGATATACTCATGTTTGATAAGACATACAAGTCCTTGTATAGAACCTACCAGATGCAGCTTGGCCGTCGTCAGATAGCAGCGCTTGGATGGCGAGTCCATCGAGACTTACGTCAATCACCATGTTGTGAGTGTATGCGCCAGGTACGAGCACTGGCTTAAACCCATCGACCAGCGTATACGTGGCAGCACGAGAAGCGTCCAAATCCGCAGGCCCCCACCACACATGCTGGTACTTTTGCAGCAGTCTCGCGTACAGTGTATCGAGCATCATCACATGCAAATCGCCTTGGAGGTTCCCCACTGGTACCTGTACATATCTACAAATGCAACTTATCAATATATATATATATATGTGTATTACCTGGCACAATCCAACAGGTCTTGGTACTGCCGAGGCACTTGGTCGATGGCGTGGACGAGGCGAAGTTGCCAATCCTGGCGCCACGTCAGCATTGGAAACGACGACGGGTCACTCGAAAGCGTCACGACCAATGGGAACGCTTCTAGACCTCGGAATTGGGTGCGTAAACTGGTTCGAGTGACCCATTTCGGCACCACCGCCACCACCACACTCGACACGTCGCGCCATCTAATTTGGAACAATATTAGTCCATTAGTTAGTATTTATATTATTAGTGTGTTTTTGTGGTTTTCAGTCAAATATATTGAACTGGGCAGTTTATATTTGAGAAATCGTCTCCAAGCACAATTGTATACCGTACAATGTATACCATATGCAACATGAATATAAATAGTTCAACTGAGCTACCATTGGTTGGAATTTAGGATTGAAGCAATTTCATTGGCTAGTCGATTGATTCCTGCGTTTGGGTTGCCGCTATTCGATGACCCAAACTCCACCTTCGAATGCATAATACTATAGAAAAGTATAGAAACACATATATACATATCAACTAGTCTGCTTTGCTACTAAAATACATAAGACCATAACCACAAATGTCGATATTACCAAGTCGATTGGAAAATAAATGGAGGGGATTCCTTCTTTACTGAAGGCAGGAACCAATCGATTGACCAATCAAAATCCAAAACATGAAGCAACCAGCCAATCAAAAGACACGTTTCTTCAACCAATACACATCGAGTCTTTCGTATAGGACTGAAACTTCTGATATACAAACATTCCGGTGTGACAAACAATCTTCGATCGATGGATGGATGTAGCCAGTGCCCAACACCCTCCAACTGTGGGCTACAAGATATATATATATATACTTCTTCTGTTCCAGGTTACTGCCGACATTTCAAAATTCGCATGTTCCAAGTTACTGGCGACATTTGCATTTCATTGGCTGTAATTCTTCAATTTCTATCAATATCGAACATTTATGACATTTCATTGGCTTACAATTGCTTTAAGTGCTGATTATAAACCAATCTTTTGCGAAAATTCAAGCAATTCCCTTTCAGAGTATCATTCGCCCAAATTGAGTGAGGGCTCGATTGTCTGTGTCAATTCATAGTAAATGTCGCGAGTAACCTGGAACAGAGCAAGTATATATATATATATATATAATATATATCCCACTCGCATCAATCAAACTGGTCGTACTTGGCCAAGACGTTGTTGACGCCTGCGACAACGTCTGTGAACGCTGAGACGACGTGATTGGTCATTTTGGGCAGATCGGTCGATGGTGTCGAGAGATGGCGCCAGTCGGTCAGTTTGAGGCCGCTGGTGGCACCCTGCGCGTCCAGCAGCCACGTCATGGCTTCAGTCCACATCATCCCGCCGTCTTTGATCGATGACCGCACGAGCACACTCCAAGACCCGACTTGATGGGTGGCGTTGGTCGATATAACCAGAGCCAGTTGGTGAAGTGGGTGGGTCGATGGTGTCGAGGACGATAAGTACGAAGTCGCGGGCTTGGAGTGAAATGCAGACAACGTCAGGCGCTGCAAAGATGAAGGAGGCTGTACCACAGACCTAAATAGTATAAACAATAGGATTATAAATACCTTTTATACACCATATATAGGTAGCATATTCTTGGTATAATAATAAACAATAGGATTATAAACATCAAGTTAGCATATTCATGTTGGAGAGGGTTCCTAAAGCACACATCAATCAGGGGAAATATCACATGTACAGATACTAGTAGTACATGATACAAGTCCAAATACAATGCTACTCCATGTACTACTGTAAATAGAGTGATAGATAGATGTGACCTATCTCTTTATTCGGATACGAATATATATATATATATATATATATACCCCAAAAGTACATGAAACACAATGCTACTCCATGTACTGTACATATATTGATAGATAGATGTGACCTATCTCTTTATTCGGATACGAAGATAAATATATATATATATATATATATATATATATATATTTACCCCAAGCTCCACAGCAACCGCGACGTCGGTCGAATTGTAGCCTCGTAGATGGTGTCGAGCGAAGTAGTTGCGTGTTTACAAGCCTCCAGCGCCACCATATGGGGCTGATTGGGTACATAGCGCTTGATCTCTTGGAAGGTGGCAGCCCTGTCGATGGTGTCGACCAAGACAGTCGTGCTAGAGTGCTTCAATACAGTCGTGCCCGTTTCAATTTGGTGGATTTCCAATCGACTACACAAAGGAGTTGAATGATAATATATATTAAATATATCGAAAAAATAGAGTACCCGTCGTTGATCGCCCACACGTCGCACAAGCCAGGAATTGCCGTGTCTCGAACCTCGACAATGTGCCACAAATACAATTGTTTGCGCTTTTGCACAGCCTAGTCATACATATATATATTATATATATGTATGTATGACTTATGACTGTTTTTTTTGTACAAATCTATATATTGCATCATCCATTCCTATGTATATAATATAATATATATGATATATTGTATTGAATCATCCATTCCTATGTATATAATATATACGATATGATATATATATACAGGAATGGATGATTCAATATATATATTTGAAAAACACAGTATGCATCCAATATATACACTTGGAACAATATATAGGATATATATAAACAAAGCAGATGTTATATATATATATATTCTGTACAACATCACTATTATTTATATATATATATACCATGGGCGTGTCGAGGGCTTTCATTTCCAGACGTTTGCGACGCCACTTGAGCTTACGCAGAGCCAGCCACTCTTCGTACGACGTCCAGGACGACGTCGGTTTGTCCCCGACACCATCGACGGGTTTGTGGACGTCGCCTTCCACGGTTGAGAGCGTAGATGGGTCGATGATGTCGTCCTCGATGTCTGGAGTCAGACTCTGGGCTTTGATTGGTCCTTTTAACTTGGTCTTTTTGGTCGAAGCTTGGGGAGTCCATGCTGGCAAGTCGACTGGTTTTGGGACTGGCAAAAATCTATTCCAAATAATAGTCATATATATATATATTGGCCACATAATCGTATTATATATATATATTGGCCAAGGCAATTCAAATCTCTACAATCAGGCATCAGATAATATCTATCCCCTGCAAGATCGATCGATCGATCGATCCGACATCTTTGTAAACGTACGATATATACTGTATGTGTCGTCGATCTGCATCATGGAATATATAACGTGAATATAATAAAATAATTCCATAGAATCTCAAGTCAAATATACAACAATTGGAATATTTTTTATATAAATTGCTCAAATTTGAAGGACCTGGTGCAAAGAAACGACGACAAATCATACGGTAGATCGTGGTCAACGTCTCATATGAGGAACAATATTTACAAATATGCCAATATATTGTACTTTCGAGTGAAATTTCATTGTGTTGTGGTTTCTCGATGGAATTTAAATCGATTTGATTGGCTACTTCAGATGAGCTCAAAATAATTAGCCAATCAAAACCTTCTCAATGAAATTCAGCAACCAATCAGATCGATTGCACCCCCTCCCCAAATTTGTATCAAATCGACAATACCTTGATATTGTTGAGTTAAAATTCTAAACTGGAGCATAATGAAAATACATGTATCGAAGAATGCACGGCAGCTAAATCTAGCCAATCAAATTGCAGGAAACCATCCGTTCAACCAATCAAAAACAAATTCGTGTGTGACTTCAATTTGATGGGCAAATGTTTTTAACGTAAAACAAAAATCGGTCGAAACATCGATATATTCGGCAAAGTATATCAGCACAAAAGTCCAAATTTTGGCTGAAAGGGACAATAGTAATAAATATATAACAAAGTAGAAATGAAGATACACACAAGTATATATATATATATATATATATATACAGTACAAGTATATGAAGAAGAAGAGAACGTACCCGAGTGTAGTTTGCCGTTTGGTATCTAATCGCTCCTTGACGAGGCGGTCCATCCACTTGGGCAAATCGATGCGAGGCACGGGGTTTTCAATGTGCTGAAAGGCGGCGGGCAGTAAAATGATCTTTTGCACCGTGCCTGCAAACCTATTTTCGATAAATTACACACAAATATATATATATATATATAATTTAGTTATTTTTATGCATCTAAAAGTACGTACCGAGTGCGGTAGTAGTCCCAATCCAGCAGCGAACGAACGTCCAAGTCGGTCATGGACGGATCTCGACACCATTTGCGCAAGAAATGCTTTTTGATCTAGGGATATCAGAGTCAGGCGGCGATGTCGTATATATATAATATTTGTGATTGCATGGATTTTACAAATATATATATATATATGGGTATACCGCTGGTTCCGCCGAGAAGATGGCAGTGGGTACCGCGCGCTCGGTCACTTTTTCCCCGTACGGTCGAGTCAACACGATCAACTTACAGGTAAGCCCCTTGTCTTGAAGCATCTTTGGGCCCAAAAATTCACCTGAAATCGCATATATTTGAGAAATATATATATATATTTGAGAAATATATATATATATTATATATTTGAGATATATAGTTACCAAGTCGTTTGGCGGTGGTAATGGACGTGGATTTTTGGTTGCCATAGTCCTCCAAGCGACCACTCATGCTCTTGTTTTCTGTGAGCAGCGCCAGCACTTCCTCTTCTTCAATCGCTTGACCTTTTGTATCCAATATATCCAACCTACAAATCACAATTATATATAAATATATAGATATATAAATAAATATATACCATCGATTCGCACAGTCGCCGACGGCAGCATAACACTCGGCCAACGTCTTGCCTTCCAAAAAGCATGGAAACACTTGGCTTTGAAACGCCTTGATCAGTTCCAATTCCCCTCGCCGTTTCAGTTCAAACCCTACATATCCCATAAATATATATATTTATATATTTCGAAGTAATACCCTTGAGTTCCGTGAGTTTGTTGGAGAAATTAAACACAGCGTATCGCTTCTTGAGCAGTTTGCCTTCTTCCGTGGACGCGGGCACGACCATACACTTGTACGGACCATCCAACTCGAAGAAGATGGAGCACTCGGAGCGCATCTGGTACTTTTGGCCAGCAGTTACTTCCTGGTACTGGTGATTGGTAAAGTTCTCTTGCACGGCAGCGTTGAGCATCACACACGGGTATTCTAGCGATCTAAAAATATATATTAGAATCATCTTTATCGTCATATATATGTATATATATATGAGAAGGCAATGGTATGTATTCAGATGTACACATCTAAGGTCGATTCGGTTTGAATATATGGAGACGGATGGGATAAGGATGTGCTCCATTGAAGGACCAGACAACCAAATCGACCAATCAAAACACTCGTAGCTTTTTATATTTGACCAATCAAATCCCTTCCAAGTCTCACCCATGTATCGTAACCCTTGGACTGTGTATATATCGAATATAAGTGTCGATAGTAATAGCCGTGTCTGCAAATTCAAACAATCGTCCTAAACACAACCAATTTCGGTCGACAGACAGGACAATATAAAGCTATTAAATGAATGCTACTATCTATATATAAATAGTAGAATCAAATATATATATATATACATGCTACTATCTATATATGCCTGTTAAAGAGTAGGATCAAATATATATATATATATATACATGCTACTATCTATATATGCCTGCTAAAGAGTAGGATCAAATATATATATATATAAAATATATATATATATATATACCGTGTAGAGCCATCTTTCAACGTAAACTTGAATTTATCAGGAAACGAGCCTGGCAACATGGCCCAGATGCCATCCGTGTCGAGTTCCAGGGGTCGACCGAGTTGCTCGACCAATTGGCGGGCTTGTTTGATGATTTGAGACCCCGTGTTGGTGACAATACCTACTCGATCCACATACAAATGTCAAGTCAAAACCACCACGAACTACTACACCATAGAAGGAATTAAACAACTAAGCCAATCAAATCACGTTCTGGTGAATTTCTGCCAATCCAAAGAGTCCACATGGGGCCAAGCCTGATGTATGCTAAAGGACATATTGTATAGTGTATGCACAAGCTTAAAAAGGGTCCAATGCTATCGAGTCATTGACTCAAACGTCCAAATATATAGGTGAAAAGAAGGTATATAGTATACCGTGAAACGACCAAGGATAAACTCGAAGAGAATAATTTATATATATCGTAGGTTTTGAATATGCAATAAACGATGGATAGCTGGGAACGCACCGGCCATTTCCATAGAGTGCCATCTCGCCCCTCGACGCATCACATACCTAATAATAGTATACAATCCGTGATATTATACGAATAATTGGTGATATTATAGGAATAATATGGGATCATACCCGTAAAACGAGTTTAGAATGCACTTGTGGGCCAATTGCAGCGAATCGTACACGCCAAACTTGGTCGTGGCGTCCACTTTGTCCAGTGGATCTAATAATAAATAGATGAATAGATGAAATACATTTAATAGTCAGAATAAATGAACGGACCGGTGGCGGCGGACGCTTTCTTTTGCCATTGCTTGGTCAGAATTTTGTAGTCGTATCGACGGTCTCGAAACGCGCGCACTGTGTTGACATAGAACGCGTTTTCACGCATGCAAACCTAGATTGATATATTAATATATATATATATATCATATACCACAATACCATATATAGACATATATTATTCAGCAATTCTATGTATTCAGAAACATATATTGTCGGTTTGAATATGGTGTGGGGAGGGGGGGATGAATAATCGAAGGAGCAGAAATCCAAATCGACCAATCAAAACCCAGATCACAATTGAAGTGGCCAATCAAAATCCCTGTAGCCGTCGTCGATACACGTGGACGTTCAACGTTGTCGTGAATATCAAGTTTTCAACAACATATTGTCAAATATCCGTTTCAATTTGGACTTTCGAGTACAATCGATTGAATTTCACAAATGTATACGAGAACATCGTAGCCAATCAAAGTGCACCAACATACAAATTTCAACCAATCATCGCGATTCGTGTAGTTTAACAACATAATGCGTATATCAATATAACATCATCCCATACATTTTGCTTCAAATCCAAGACCAATCGATTCACGTATCCAAATGTCAGTAAAAAATGTACACACAAACGGTATCACACATTTCTCTCAAGACACAAACACCCCATACAAAAATACCGTGGAAGTTCTGGTTTCCGTGTCTGTGACAGTGTTCTTCTTGTATACAGTGTTGCAGTAGTGCTTGACTCGATCTGTGAGCATGCTGGTGCGCTTGTCTTGTGGCAGTTGGGCGTACGGGATGTTCCCAACCACTTCGTACGATAGCTGAGTTTGGAGATGGTCAAATTCGGTTTTGGTCGCAGGGTAATACTCTCCTCGCCATACCCACTCCATTGGGCGTTGGCACGATAGTGTCGAAGTTCTATAGAGCAACATTCAAGGGAAATCTGTATATATATATATATATATATAATACAGCAGACGTGAATAGATTGGTCAAGAATATAGATGATGATGCAACTTGACTCAAGTGTGTACGTACAGTAATATAGTACACATAAGTAAGTAGATCGTTCAAGAGTATATATACAATGTATATATATATATATATAAATATATAGTCCAACGGATACTGAAGACCATACGATAGGACATCGTTGTCAAAGATGTGTGTACCCTTCTTTACCAGAAGAACGAATCCTCCAAACGTATATAATATATATATAATATATACATGTCCCTCACTGATCCTTCCACCAATATGAATCCTATTTCAACGTAGGCTATATATATATATATATTGCGGCTGCTAACTTGACCATGAAGATACTAATAATACTGTACGTACGACGTTTCGCATGTGGTCGAGTGGACGCAAGCAGCGCAGTCGGCGGGCGTGACCATGGCGGACGGCTGCAGGCGGTTGGTGAGGATGATGTTGGGGTACATGGCAGCCACGTCCAAGTGGTAGATCAGAGGCTTCTCCCATCGATCAGGACAGTCCCGTAGCATCTCGAGCGCTTCTACAATCTCTTGCCGAACCTATCCAACTTTGTCAATATATATATATATAAGCATCTCGACCGCTTCTACAATCTCTTGCCGAAATTATCCAACTTTGTCAATATATATATATATATAATCAGCTCGAGCGCCTCTACAATTTCTTGCCGAACCTATCCAATTCTGTGTATATATGTATATATATATAAATACCTGCGTGTAATTCGTAACGTCATGCCGAGGAATGTCCAGTTCCACTTCGAGGGCAAACGTCAAATCGCGATCAATGTGTTGAATGAGGTGCTATTACAATATATTATATATATACGTGACAAACCCGTAGAAACGAGTTTGTTTTTTGAGAATATATATATATATAATATATACCTCCAATGCAGACGGTACGACTTTGAACTGGTACTCTAAATCCGCTCGAAACACGCCGCTTTCAAGACACTCGACGTGGCCGCCAATGTACGTTTCACTGCCCACCACGTGGTTCTTGTGCGTTGTTTCTACATCAATACATATTATAATAAATATCAAATATATATATATATATTACCAAATGGCACCGACACTTGCTTGTTGGGGCAAATGATGTTGCCTCGGAAGGCTTCGACCATGAGCAGCGCTTCGCAGAGCGTCCCACTGCCCTTGCGCAATACATCTTCGCTGCCCAGGGGGATGATCGTACAGAGCGAAAACACAAACAGATGCACGTATTTGTCGTATCTATCCAAATATATATATTAATTATATATCACCAACAAGGACAAAGATGGAGCATTGGGTTGTTTTATTCCAATTTGATACGATTTACGAGAATTATACGATACACAGTGATAGCATACAATAGTCTGTATACTTTGAATACAGCTAGTACGCGGCCGAGGCCATTAAGTGCCCGCTGAGTGATTTTAACTTTACAGCGTAATATCAATATCAATATCTGTATACTTTGAATACATACTATGGTATATCACTGGTACAATGAATCAACTATTGTGTTTCCTCCGTTGGCGATTGGTTGAATCAACCGCCGAACAATCGACGGACCTTCGAAATTTCATATAAAATTAAGTTTAACAGGTATCTTTTTGTGACTGCATCAATCAATCTTTTTAGCCAATCATATCGCAACCTTCATTCTTTGCAGCCAATCATACACGTTTGTTCGATTAGTTGGCAATTTCATCAATCCCCCAAAACAGGCAAATTTGACGGAAAAGCACAATACTATCTATATACACAATAGATGTTCCAGGACAATTAACAAATACAAACTGTTGGTCCCGTATGTAGGATCATAACGAAAAAAAGAAGGGATACAACAGTAGTATATATATATATATATATATATGAACGGACGTACAAGTAGAAGGTTGCGACGGCATCTGAGACAGAGTACGACGCCATCTTGAGCGGTTCATTTTGAGCCAATGGGAGCATTTCCTCGGGGTCCACTTCCACAGGGTCGTAGCCCAATTTGTACTTTGTCACAGCTTTCAACCCTTGCGATCCCTACGGTATTCCCATGACGATATATATATATATATAAGCATATACAATCGGTTAATTATATGATATATATAATACCTGAGGGAGATACGAGTCGCGCTTGACCCAGCAATACGCGTCCAAATGCACGGCACATTGGCCACGGTATTCGCCGTTGCGATCTTTCGAAATGCCCACTTCACTCTTCAAGTCCATTCTAAATCAGAATAAATATTCGAATTAAATGATAGATGAATAAGTAAATATAATAAATAATGAATACCCGTGGTGTTGGGCGCGGGTTTCCAGGAACGGCCAATCAAAAAAGTCGCCGTTATATGTGACAAAAATGTGCGGGTTGAGCTCTTTCACATGGTTGAAAAAGTATCGGATCAGTTCCAACTCGTTGGCGACGTTGATGCATTCAAACGGTCCTACGAATAGTTGAATACCCCCGAAACAGAATAAATTATTTTTATTAAATAAGACAAGCATAATCGTATACCAGGGTACTCTGGTTTGGGCGTGTATTCAAAATCGTCGACGTCTTGGGATACGAATTCTTTGTTGCAGATGAGAAATCCCTAGTGCAAATAGAATTAAAATACTGTCGTGAATATGCAATTATATAATTAATATACCTGGCGATCCACCATATACGAAATCATATAGATCTGGTCTGTGGCTGCATCTGGAAACTTCAACGGGGCTTTGGTACATTCGATATCAAACGCCAATACCACCGGCTCGGCCTTGTCCACCATATCCATAATCTATATATATATAATGAACTTATTTTAATATTTGATTGTTTATAGTCAAGTATATAATGTTAAAATATTTATATTACATATAATAATATATACATATCGAATTCAACAGAAATATATATGAAAACAGACGTACCCGGTCCACTTTGACGCCTTCCAAAGCATCGACTTGCACGGAATACCATGCACCCACTCGGATTTCGTCGTCGATGGCCACTCGCATCAGGTATGTGACGTCGTATTCGCTATATATATAAAAAATATCATGAATTAATAATAATATAATATGTGATGATGAAATAATTTAATGATGCTACATTGCCGTATTAATAGTGTTGTGTTTAGTCAGCCAAATGTACACAAGAATTCAGTCAATCAGATTGCAGGAAACCATCTTCAACATCAAATTAGTGTGTGACTTCAATTAGTGTGATACCAATCACCTCAGGATACAAAATTCAGTATAAAGAATTGGCGGCGATTCAGCACAAATGTCCAAATTTGGTTAAACGGACCATACCGAATGTCGACGAGGGGAATGTCCGTCGAGTGGTACGGATCTTGCTTGTTCTTGATGATCATGGGGTACACGATTTGCTTGGCATCGACCAAGTCCGCCACCTGTATATGCGTGAGAACATGGGAATGGACGGAGATGGGGAACGCAGCACCGTTCGGAAGACGAGCTGAATGTACGACGCTTGCAGCCCCGAGAGGTGGTTGGGAAGGTCCAAGTCTTCCTTGGACACGACGCTCGAGGACAGCAACGTGCCTTCCAATGTCTTTTGGCAAAAGCTATGACCATGGTGGTGATGGTGATCGTCATGTCAGAAGGAAGGAAGGATGAGAGGAGGACGACATACGCCAAGGCTTCCTGGAGACGCTTTGGAGGCGCCGCGACGTAGAAGTACGGCGGTCGGAGCAGCGTGGTCTTGAACGCGGACCCGTCTTGCGCTAGAAAGTATAACTCGACGCCGCTTCGCTCGACGTTGTCGACGTTGCGCGACGTGTTGCATGCGTTGAGAAGCCTAACATACGAGATACATGAGAACATGGCATGAAATCTTGATGACGAGTGTGGTGAACGTCACCATCCAATCTGGGGTCCGTCTTCCTCGGTCAATGGCGCGAACCCATGGGTCAGGTCAAACGCATCTTGCTGCGCCAATTGGGCCAATTTCTCCTGCGGCATGCCGCGCCCGCTCGCATTCGATCGTGCGCCCTGCGAATTCTTCGCCCAGGACGACCCGCCGCCAGGCTTGCGATTCAAGCGCTTCATGATGTTTTCGATGGAGTCCACGAGATCAAGTTCCTGGTTGATTGAATCACTTGAGATTTGTATGGAATAATATTGGAATAATATTATCCGGATGATTGTACGGATATTGTGGGAATTTGCGCGCCATTTTGGAATTTGCATGGAAGGCGGCGGCACTTGCCCTGTACGAAGAACGCCTTCGCATATCCTTGGAGCGTGGATGGATAGTTCGTTTTGCTTTATCTCATGTGCATGAATGTGCCTTGTTCCGCTTCCTTTCATGGCACTGATCTATGGGACACCCCAACGACGGTGGACACTCGACTTCATCCTGAGCGAGTGTCGACCTTCGTCGGGATATCCCATCGATTAGTGTCATGGAAGGACACGAAACATAGCATATCCAAACACAAGTGATCAAGAAAAGCGAGCTGTCCATCCACACCCCTAGGACATGCGAAGGTAATCTTACAAGCACAGTCAGCGCTTATGGAGTCGGGAACAACGCAACAAGGTAATCCATACCCGTGCGTGGAGTAAAACACAAAGTTGGAACCCTTTGTTCTCTGGAATGTTTGATGCATGATGAAGGGTGTTTGCTTGCTTTTCGTCGAAATATGGGGAAATACGTGCATATGGAGGTACATCTCGCGACGTTGTTTCATGCGCACTGGTTTAGATTGCATGCACGCCCGCCATCTTATGGGACTGCCGTTGTTGATTGGTGTACCATTGTTGATGTGAAGGGTTCTTGTTGTGATATTTCATCATTACACTTCAAAATCGAGCTGTAAAATGCAAGGAGTATATGATTTTCCACGATTTATAAAACTAGTATGCAACAGCGTTTGATCTCCATGTCGGCTTTTAGATGGCAACAACGACCCACATCGCACCGACGACGACGACCAAGGACGGTACCATGGCAGCCGCCGCGATCGCCGCCGACGTCACTTCCTTCGGCGTGGTCGATGGAGCCGGGGTGCGCTGGGTCGTCGTTGGGGCGGGTGTCGTGGTCGGGGCTGAGGTCGTCGTGGTCACTGGCATCGTCGTGGTAGCATTTGGCGCGCGCGTCGTGGCCGTCATATTGGGGCTTCGGGTCGCATTGGGGGCCGACGTGCGATTGTCCAACGCAAACACGGGCTCCATCGGCGGGACAACCGGGGCCGCGGCTTGATGCACGACCTGCTGCGGGGCTTCCGCTTGACGGGTGACGATAGGGGCTTCAGCTTGACGAGAAATCGGCTGGGCTGGTTGCGGGGCTTCAGCTTGATGGGTGACGATAGGGGCTTCAGCTTGGCGAGTGACAGGCACTTCAGCTTGACGAGAGATCGGCTGGGCTGGTTGCGGGGCTTCAGCTTGATGGGTGACGATAGGGGCTTCAGGTTGACGAGTCAGCGCCACAGGCACTTCAGCTTGGCGAGTGACAATCGGAGCTTCGACTTGACGGGGAACCTCAGCTTGTTGGGCGATTGGCTGGGCTGGTTGCGGGGCTTCAGCTTGGCGAGTGGCAATCGGAGCTTCGACTTGACGGGGAACTTCAGCTTGACGCGAGATCGGCTGGGCTGGTTGCGGGACTTCAGCTTGACGAGGAGCCACTGGAACCTCAGCTTGGAGAGGGATGGACTGGGCTTGTTTCGGAGCTTCAGCTTGACGAGCGACGATTAAAACCTGTCGGGGAGCCACGGGAACTTGAGCTTGATGAGCGATCGGTTGGGCTGGTTCAGTTTGACGAGTGACAATCGGGGCCTCGGCTTGGCGAGGAGCCACTGGAGCGTCAGCTTGAAGAGCAACCTGTTGGGCTGGTTGGGGGGTATCAGCTTGGCGAGGAGCTACTGGATCTTCAGGCTGACGGGTGACAATAGGAGCTTCAGCTTGGCGAGAGATAACCCAAACCTGACGGGGAGCCACTGGAGTCTCGGCGTGGCGGGCGGCGGATTGGCGGGGGATTGGTTGTTCCCCAACACGTGGTACGTCCGTTGCTTGGTGGATCACGAGATTGGGCACGACGGCGGCGGCGGCGATCGCAGCGGCGGTGTCCGTGGCTGCATCATGCGTACACGTCATTTGGGTCAGCACTTGTCGCTTGCGGTCGAGCATGCGGGCGCAACTGGCGACCATTGACACTTGGCGATTGGTGAGCACCGCGTCCGTGGGAGACATGCCGATCGCATCGGCGCAACTGATGGCGTCCGCCGTCAGCGCCACCGACCCCAGCGCCGTCTGAAGGGCGCCGAGCGGACACACGTTCTTGGGGGTGGAACCCGAGCACGTTGCGAGAAGCATGGGAAGGACGAGGAACGCAAGCATGGAGATGAGAGGAAGGTGATCGAAGCGAGGCAATTGCGAAATGAGCACACGATACACAGAGGTTCACTGACCCATCACGATGACGACAAGGTGATGGACATGGAGTTGCCGCGAACGGCGTGTCCCAACCGACACACTGTCGAGTTCTGTCATGGTGAAAGCACTATATTTGGTGTATTAGGCTTGTTTATTGTATAGCATACATACCGTAAGTTACACAATTCGAATGTCTCTCAACACATCAGTCATATTATTTTGTAACATTTTCGCTCTGAGGAATACGTATCCCTCTGTTATAATGTTTTACATCTGGCTTTTTAAACCCAGTGTTATAAGATAAAACTCGACTTATTCGAAAAAGTTATAACTTTCGTACTATATACAGTACTCGAAGTAAAGGACATTTCCATAATGTTATAATTTTTGCTAGTACAGTACTACTACGTAGTATATATAGAACGTTTCAAAAATGTTATAACTTTTGTATCCGTTGTACGGTATTGGCAACGTTGCACCACTCCTCTGAAATGTCCTTGAAAAAGTTACTTTAGCACGGTTAGCTGAGAATAACATACTAGTAAATAATGAGCGATGGCCGTGTGCCCAGTGTCCATGGCGGTTTCGAGCGCGGCTTCCACGACGTGGCCCATGTCGTTTGATGTAGCACATCGCCCGCCTTGCTCCACCAGCGCCCGCACATGCTTCAAGTGTCCCGCCGCCACCGCCGTCTGCATGGCTCGATGCATCCACGCATGCAAATCCTTCGCATGAAGCGCGAGGTACCGGACGATGTGCATGTGTCCGGCCTTGGCAGCTTCCAGAAGAGCCTTCTCGGGACACCCTTCCTGGCGATGTTCATGGAGATACTTGACGACATTCAGGTGCCCGTGCTTGGCAGCCCAGTCCAGCGCCTTCTTCGTGCATCCTTCCGTGCGATTCTCGTCGAGGAAACGAACCACTTGCAGTTGATCCAAGCGTGCGGCCCACGTCATGGCGGACTTTGTGCACCCTTCCTTCCGGTGACGATGCAGAAATTGAACGACGTCCAGGAAGCCCTTGAATGACGCCGCGTCCATCGCTTCCTTCGTACAACCTAGAGAGGAAGAAGGGCTATGAGGATACGTGGATGTGGTTGAGATCGCGTACCTTCGCCTCGAAACGAATGCAGGAACGACACAATGTCGAGATGGCCGTTGCCGGCGGCAGTGTCCATCACATGCGACGTACATCCGGGGAATTGGTGCATATGGAGGTACTGAATGACAGGCAAATGGCCATTCCGCGCGGCAAATTTCCATACACGTGTCAAGTCGACGGAGGTCACACTGAACTTCAAAGATGTTGGGAGTAGGGCCGCGAGGGAACTGATGTGGCCGATGAACGACGTGTACACGACAAAATCTCGCATGCACTTTTGCTGCAGAACACGGACGGCATGGAGCCCATACTCGGCAAACCATGCATGGTACTTGATGCTGGACTGTTCCTGGAAGGTTTGGGGTCCGAGTAATCTGTGTGGGTCCCACATGGACGCGGCGACAACGCGGATGTCGCGCACAATGGGATGGAAATGGCGGGGTAGACCTGTCTGGAACTGAGCGATGGACAGCCACAGGGACGTATTGGTCAGGACATTCACGACAGCATGATCGTCACCGATCGTCGAAGGTTTCGACTTCTTCATGCACAAGCTTCGTGAGCATGCGAGGAGGCAAATTTGAAACTGAGCCACGACAAACAACAAGAATGCTATGGTTGAAATCGAAGTTCGAAGATACACATAGCATACAAGCATCAAGTCGGATCGTGTAGTTCGAAGTTCCATCCAGCCAATCAGAACGCGGATACGTTGATGGGATTTGGCCATTTTCGAGGTTCGAGATCACATCATCAGTCCTGGAACTACGTGCGAAACGATGACGGACCGACGAAGAAGAAGGAATGTCATGCTTACATTCCACGGAATGAACAGAATCCCCGCCACGGTACAGCAGGACACGATCGGAGGAGGATGGAGCATGAGAGAGGGTATGTATGTATATAGTACACCGCGGCGGGACCTAAGAAGAAGCAAGCGGCCACATGCAACACCGAAGGTCGAGTACCGGTACATGTTCGAGCGAATTCGACGTCGAGATGTCACAAGGTGGTCCTTGATATGCACCAATGAATCATGGCAGTATAAATCGGCAATATCTCATTGATTGCTTGGCATGGCAAAAGCCAAGTTGAATATGAAGTATTAGCGCCATGTACGAAGGTCATACAAGCGTAGTAGCGGCCACAACGACATAACGTTATGAGCTCGTTGACATCATGGCAGGATGATGTCATGGAGTCGGGAGGACACGGGGGCTACATACAGTGTAACGCTAACCTTATTCGTAACGTCTTGGACGCGAGAAGGGAGAGCACCCGCAGAGTACATTTGGAGGATGATGGAGCATGGATGCCTCGTCGAGCCATATCAAGTAGTACCATACAGTAGGTACACGGGGGCATCCATCGTGGATCTCGTCGTGGGCCATTTCGCATGGAACTTTCACACAAGGGAAGGGTTTGGTCGATCTTTCAATCAACATCGCCGACATGCCAAGGACACCAATGCTTGGAGAAAGTCAGCGGTAGCGGTGGTTCTGTGGTTGGGATGGCTGCATGCGGTGGCGACGCTGGATCGCACTCGCGGGTTCAACAACTGTTATTGGCGGGGATTGAACACTCCGAATCCAGTCCATCCACATGCAGCTACTCTTCGTCGTGATGAACCACTAGATGTATCTACTGCGCAGAAGTTCCACGATCGATCGATCATCGTCCGTCGCATGCTCGCTCGAAGTTTTGGACATGCACCTCGCTCTCTCCACCGCAAAAATGAGGTCTGCCCTTTCTTGTGGCGCGGCAACGATATCCGGATACAAGTCATTATCCGGATCAGCCCCCAAGTCCAGTGGCATTCTTCCGGTTGAGTTGTTTGGTCCAATGGATTCACCAGCAGCGGCGACGTTGGCGGCGTCCATCGTGGCGCAAGGCGAGAAAGTGCGTGATCTCAAGACGCAGAAGGCTTCCAAGGAACTGGTATTCATCGTCCATCCTTCTGCATACATCATCATGCGTACCCTTCCTCATGGCTTATCTAGGTGGTTGAAGCGGTGAATGGCTTGTTGGCGTTCAAGGCGCAGTTCAAGGCACTGACCGGCGCGGACTACGTGGACCCGAACGCGAAGCCTAAGGAAAAGCCTAGCGAAAAGGCCAAGGCGAAGGTGGTGGATGCCCCTCCTGCGGACCCGACCAAGAAGAGCAAGAAGGAACTGAACAAGGAGAAGAAGAAGGAGAAGAAAGCGACGATCAAGGTCGGGGGCGACGTCGCCGCTCTTCCGTCGACCCCCGTAGCGAAGAAGGAAGGCAAGAAACCTGCGTCGCTGACGATCGACGTTGCAAAGGCGCCAATCTTCGTCCAAGCGCCGCCTGCGGCCACGGACAAACCGACCGTGTACTACACGGCCAGTCATCTCCCTCGCACGGCGTTTGCCGTCGCCGCGTTGTTGAAAGACGCGGGTTTGGACGTCACATTCGTGAACTTTACGATCCCCCATGCATTGCCAGTGTTGGTGCTTCCCACCGGCAAGGTAGGTGTACATACATACCTGTCCTTTCTCGTCCCATGTTGATGCTCGATATCTGTTTAGGTGATCAACGGAGACATTGCGATCGCCAAGTACTTTTGCCGCCTCACGCCGGACGCGGGGCTCTATGGCCTTTCTTCGGTACATCCATCCATCCTTCTTTCGATATATTGTCGTTTTCCCCAAAATTTGGTTGACTTTTCGACTTTTATTCGCCAAATCAATCGATCGATTGTTTGACCTGACTTTTGTATGGAACGAATGTGTTTTACACGAATTTTATCCCACACGAATTCGATTGGCTATTTGATTCTTGATATTGATTGGTCAAAATTTTCGATTTTTTTTGTCTGCCAATGTATTTGGTCCTTTTGCACGCTCTAATTTCGAATATCGACTACCTATAATGTCCATGTAAGTTGGTCTAAATCGTCGATTTACCCTTGTAGGAACCCATCTTGATGGGTGAAATCGACGGCTGGGTCGGGTACGCGCAGAGCCATGTGCATGCGGCGACACTTCCCGCATCATTTCTGGACGCGATCCTAGCGGAACGGACGTTCCTCGTCGGGTTTGGCTTGACATTGGCGGACGTGGCGGTGTTTTCCGCGCTCTCGGCCGTGCAATTTCAAGCCGACGCCACCGGGGCATACCCTCATTTGTCACGGTGGTTCCAGTATTTACACCCGATTTTGTCGCCCGATTCTTCGTTGGCGACGACGCTACCCGCCCCAGTGTTGGCCATCCTCTCCCCGCGCAAAAAGCCCGTACCCACGGAAAAGTCGACATTTGTCAGCCAAAAGGGCAAAACCAGCGGCAGCTGTCCGCCCCTGGAAGGCGCGATCGTGGGCCAAGTGGTCACGCGGTTCCCGCCCGAACCCAGTGGATTCCTCCATATTGGCCACATCAAAGCGTGCATGCTGAATGACTATTATGCACGCCAATATCAAGGCAAACTCATCGTTCGATTCGATGACACGAACCCATCCAAGGAAAAGGACGAGTTTGAGCAAGCGATTCTTCAAGACTTGGCTCGGTTGAACGTACGTTCGTTACTATATGTATATATATTATTTATTATATATATATTATATATATATCGGAGGTTGGATGGTTTGGTATGGTCAAGGGCTGCGAGTCACACGAGTATTGATTTTACACTAATTCATGAACATGCATGCCGTCGTGATACACTAATTCGTTGTCTTGTGTTCGTCCTACACTAATAAAACTTGTGGATTTTCGACGAGCTTTTTGTACTTGCTTGGGTGGACTTGTTTGGATAATTCATAGAGTTTTTCTAGTGTCGATATATAGTTGCTTGTGTATCTATCATATAGTTTTCAGTCACGACTCTTCACCACAAAATATATATATATATATTATACCTCTACGAATCCATAATATATATATATCTACGAATCCACAATATATATATATGATGTATATATCTGTACGAATGCACTTAATTATATATACATCTAAATCTATTTCTTGGACTCCAACCACCACCACCTGTGTAGATCAAACCAGATGTGGTGACATACACATCAGACAGTTTTCCGATTATCATCGAGTACGCGCGGCAGTTGATCAAGGCGGGGCTGGGGTACATGGACAACACGGCGCAAGAGACGATGCGCGAGGAACGGATGGTCGGCATCGAGTCTGTGCACCGGAATGCGTCGGTGTCGACCAACTTGGCTCTGTTTGACAAGCTTTTGGTGGCGGACCCCGCGGCCGCCGGCTACTGCCTCCGCGGTAAAATCGACATGCAAGCCAAGAACAAGACGCTTCGAGACCCCGTGTTTTTCCGCGCCAATGTACGTACAATGTACAATGTACAATGTATAATGTACGACAATGTACATTAGGTGAAAGATGCGCACCACCGGACGGGTACAAAGTACAAGGCGTACCCCACGTACGACTTTGCGTGTCCGATCGTGGACTCGACGGAAGGCGTGACCCACGCCCTGCGCACGACAGAGTACAACGACCGAGATGCCCAGTACCAGTGGGTACTCCAGGCGCTCCAGCTGCGCCCTGTCCGCATCCACGCATTTGCACGCATGAACTTTGTCCATTCTGTACTGAGCAAGCGCAAACTGCAGTGGTTTGTCGACCACGGCCACGTGGCAGGATGGTACAATGATATATATATATATATATATATATATCATAGATGTGGTCGTTTTACCCAAAATGTGGTTGTTGTTTGTGAGTGATGTGGCAAATCTATCGATATATCGATAGTTGTTTGTACGGACTTTGGAATGTCAATATGGTCCAGTGAATGTGTCACACTAATTTCAGTCCCTCACGAATTCGATATTGGTCGAATGGGAGTGGATGGTTTGATTGGCTGCTTGATGAGTGTTGTGGGTTTTGATTGGTTGATTTTCGATTGTCGGCCGGTTTGGATATTGGACTTGACAGTCATTTCGCCAAATAGAATATATTTGATCTCATTGAAGCTTGTATACAAACAACTATACAAAGGTTAGACTATATATATATATATATATATATGGTTTTGCCATATGCAATCAATCGTTTGGATTGGTAGAAACTCGACAGAATTACGTGGTTTGATTGGCTTTGGCGGTTTTTCTTTCATCCATTTTCGTGTCATCATTCGATTCTGCAGAGGGCTCCAGTATTGAATACCATCCTATATATCTATATATACCGCCATCCTATATATCCTATATATACCGATATATTGTAGGAACGACCCGCGGTTCCCAACCGTGCAAGGCGTGCTCCGCCGTGGGGTGACGGTGGAAGGCTTGCGGGAGTTTATCATCAGCCAGGGCGCATCGCGGCGCATCACGGACATGGAGTGGGACAAATTTTGGACCATCAACAAGAAGGTCATCGACCCCATCGCGCCGCGGTTCTTTGCGCTGGACGCCACTCGCGCCGTACGTGTGACGGTGCACGGGCTTCCGTTCACGGGGGTGCAGGGCTTCCCCACAGCCCTGCACCCAAAAAACCCAAACTTGGGCGTCAACATGAAGCGATTGGGTGCCGACTTGCTCGTCGAACGAGATGATGCCGATGCATTCAACGTTGGGGAAGACGTGACGTTGATGCGGTATGAAGTATATATATATAGTATATACTGTGGATATATATTTTGGATATATATGGAGTACAAAGTGAAAAAATTTGGGGTGGACCAATCATTATCCACGTATGACGATAGATCGTTGTGGATTGGTGCAAATGTCGCACAACGTGGGATTTGATTGGCTCGAACAGTCGAAAATAGATTTTGCCTGTGACCTTGTCATATATACTTTATGATAGTTTACGGATTGAACTATAATTGAGTTTTACACGAATTGTACGTTAATAATTCCATGGTGCACTTTGGTATGTCGACAACCGGATTAATTTGCCATACGTCGATATACTTATTGTTGATGTCTTGGCCGTTTCGAATGAACTCAACTATATAATATACATATATAATATATATATATATATAGCTTTGTCGACTGTGGAGAAATATATAAATATATATATAAATATATATATATATCTCTTGAATGCATAACACGACTCTAATGTAACGATTGTGGAGAAATATATATATATATAAATATATATCTCTTGAATGCATAGCACGACTCTAATGTAACGATGGTGGTTGGTAGATTCGGCAACATTACGATCACTGCAATCCACAAGTCGAAAGACGGCGAGATTTTGTCTGTGGACGCGCAAAACCACCCCGAAGGCGACTTTAAAACGACAAAGCTCAAGATTACGTGGTTGGCGCATGTGGTACTAATAATTCAATTATCAAAAAATATATATCTCAAAATAATATCTATCCATAGGATGACGTGGTGCCGGCAACGCTGGTCGAGTTTGATCATTTGATCAGCAAGCCTAAATTGGAAGAAAGTGATAACTTCCAGGACCATTTGACCCCCGTGACCCGCGCCGAGATGCGCGCGATCGGCGACCACGGCCTCCGCAACCTCAAGACGGGCGATGTGATTCAGCTCGAACGCCGCGGGTACTTCCGTGTGGATCAGCCGTTTCTGTCCAAGGACCGCCCGCTCGTGCTGTTTATGATCCCTGACGGCAAACAGCGCGCCATGTCGACGCTGTCCACCAACCTCGCCCATCGTTAAGTAGACATATACTAACTATATGGAACTTAACATGGTTGAACGTGGTTTGGCGTTTTCATATGTATGTATGTGTATATTACACGACATACAGCTATAATAAATAGCGTACAAATTAAGATAACTTGGACAAACGTTTGAAATGAAATGTGGCATACATTCACTTTGGAATAGTCCGAGGTTTGAGAGAGGGTTAAATACATATGTACGCAATCGAATTACGAATATCAATTTACTTCGAAGTACACAATATGTACGAGTACTTTACTAATTTGTGTGTCACTTGCATTTATTTATATACTAGTAGTTATTCCATTTTGATACCCCCAGCCAGCGGTGTCAT